GGCCAGTCTTAAGGCTACCATTGACAACTCTCTATAAGACATTCGTACACAACTAACACATTTCTATATATATTAAGTGAGAAGACATAATACAAAAAAAAATTATAAGTGTTATTCAAATAATGTTTTCGGAAATATGTTATTTAATTTAACCAACTACAACAATTCAATCAAAAATAATATGCCATGGTGAATAATTTATATTTTATTTTCAATAGTTATTTATGGCCANNCTTAAGGCTACCATTGACAACTCTCTATAATACATTCGTACACAACTAACACATTTCTATATATATTAAGTGAGAAGATATAATAAAAAAAATTATAAGTGTCATTCAAATAATGTTTTCGGAAATATGTTATTTAATTTAACAGACTACAACATTTCAATCAAAAATAATATGCCATGGTAAAAATCTTTACATGTTCTCATTATTTTTATAATTTAAGCCTACCAATATATATTTTACAAATTTAAGCCCAACTCTGACCCCATCGCAAAAGTTTACATTTTTATTTTTATCAAACACTATCTTTTTAACGGAGGAAAAATTTCCACTAAAAATTGTGAGTTGAAAATACTATCACTTTTTTTTGCTAAAATAATTTCCTCTTTTCTCTCACACCAATCACACCCGCGTAGAAAAGGAAGAAGTGATGGAATAAAAGCACAACGTGACAAAATGAATAGCAAGAAATTGAAATAGTACATATCGATCGTATAATTCCATATATCATTAGAGAAATACATAACACAAAACTACCAATTAAATAGACCGTGATATATAAAGAAAGACATGAAACACACAAGTTTTAAAAACAACACATAACAGTAAAAATGATACACTCTAATTATAGTGAGTGTCATCTTATTTTTTGCATACTCTCTCATCCACTATATGAAAAACCTTCAACGTCTATCCTCTCATGCTCACCTAACTCTGCAACCAAACACGGTATATGGTCAATATATATAACACTCCATTATAAGATCCAAATGGAATATATTACAACCTCAAGTAAAAGTGTAGAACGAAATAAATAGAGGTAGAGAAGATTACCGGTTACAGTTGGTTCTAGCGCTGATAGGGTAAGCAATCCTAACACGGCAAGCACCAGGGAGACGAGCAGCGCGGCCTGGGTTAAGTCTAGAACCCAAGACTCTAGCTGTTCCCTGGATGCAACGGCATGCTTGTTGGCGGTCACGCGTGGTCCGAGCCATGTAGTTGAGCCTCCGAACGCCTAAACAACATCCTCGAGGAATGGCACCCCCTCGAAGCAGGTAGCCAACGCATTGACCCAAGTTGCTGGTGACCGCGCGGCAGGAGATTGCTGCCTCGGAAGCCATTGGAGCGNCNACTAACATGCACACAATCACCAGTGTTGATAACTTTGAGAGTCCCTCCATTTTTTCTGCTTTCTAAATTTTGTTTACTAAATTAAGTAATACTGAATATTGGATGATGAAGAATGCTAATGGAGTTTGGGNTTATATAGAAAAAGAGCTAAGAACACGAATGCATGAGAATGGAAGGTGTGGGGTTAGTTGGTGGTTGGTTTCATTTAATGCATTGCATTTTGGTTAAATATTGCTAACATGTTTCAATTATTTATTTCATTTCGGTTTAAATGTTGTGAATTTTTAAGATTTTGAATAATACTATTATTATCTAAAGTATTATCAAAATACCATTTATATGATTGTCAATTTTGTTTGTATTAATCAAAACACGAAAGTTTTGATCATAAGTCTAAAGAAACATATAAAAATCATAAAGGAAAAAAAACAAAATTACACGAAATTTTCAATAATTTTTTGTATTTAGATAAAATATTTTAAGAAATCATAAAGTAAAGAAAAAAATTTCTATGATTTAATATGTGACCTTCTCTAACATAAACCTACAAATATATATTTTACCATGTCAACTATTTTAAATATTTTTCTCATATTTAACAGTTTTTATGAATTTTTTTTATATTTTAACCCGGCTGTGACCACGGGTCAAAATCTAGTTCTATTATAATATTGAACACTATATAATCTATACCAAAATGTATACACATAATATGGAGTCGTTCGTCACATATGTATAATATAGGTAGTTTTTGCATTTGTAATACAACATTGAAATTATACACAATATTTGGATTCATCATGAACCATATAATTGTTTTATTGTATATCGTAGTACCAGTTTATATAAATTTATGTGTATAAACTTCGTCTCAAACATCATATCATATAACCGATATCCTAAACCCTAATATAAATGGATACTTGTCGTGAATGTTACATTGTCATTAAAATTAATGTAAAAGTTGTAGATCTAATTTGGAATTATTTGTGAGATGTTGCAACTATACTAATAAAAAAATTACAGAAATGTTGGTATTCATTTGTTTAATAAAACGCTTGCAACATATAACATATATGGATCAATAATCAGTTCAGTCTTTAAAATAACGTTTTATCAGGTTAGACCATTAATATTGTTTGTAACATAGATGAATCAGTAATCACTCCAGGTCAGATAAGATTTCTCTTTTCCA